TCAAACAGCAGCCAAGCATCGATGATCATGTCACCAGAATAAGACCCTCAATATTTATTGGAAAGGAGCATCAAGCTCATCACCTTGCACTTTCACCACCCTGTGAAGTTCATTATAATGTATTTAATCTGTAGCCTAATAAACTGCATGCTTCCCGATGAGTCGTAGTGGGAGGCTGTGCTTGATGACGTAGTACACATAAAAATACCTTTTGCAGTTAAATTCCCATGTACCAAAATAATTGAGTTAAATGGGTTTCCATCGCAATTTCAACTCTCTCACCAAATAAATTGCATTATATAGCGAGTGTGCCCAACCTGGTATTGGCACATGCGCTCTATCCAACATGTATAGCCTACATGATGAGATTACTTTGAACAAAAGAGCGAGATTATTTTTATTTGTCAAACAGCAGCCAAGCATCGATGGGGCGGCAGGTAGCTTAGTGGTTAAGAGCGTTGTGTGAGTAACCAAAAGGTCGCTGGTTCTAATCCCCAAGCTGACTAGGTGAAATATCTGTTGATGTGCCCTTGAGCAAGGCACTTAACCCTAATTGCTCCTGTAAGTCGCTCTGGATAAGAGCGTCTGCTAAATGACTAAAAATGTAAATCATGTCACCAGAATAAGACCCTCAATATTTATTGGAAAGGAGCATCAAGCTCATCACCTTGCACTTTCACCACCCTGTGAAGTTCATTATAATTTATTTAATCTGTAGCCTAATAAACTGCATGCTTCCCGATGAGTCGTAGTGGAAGGACCACACAACATGTTCACCTGGAGAAGATTGACCCCAAGAGACACGTGTTATGATGAGCCTCTGTTGGCTGTCATGGACAAAGTGGATTCTTTTTTATTCTGTAATAAAAATAAAAAAAAATGTAATTTAAAAAAACATTGTCCATGACAGGACTCCAAGTTTACTTCGATATGATGGTTATTATATCAATATTTGCGCATAAAAGAGTTTCCACCAACATTTCTCGCATAATTCATTTTACCGACATAAAAAGATCCCACATTTGGAAAGTTTACCCAAAAAAAGTATATTTCCATCAGGACTCTCATAACATTATTTTATCCGACATGTACTTCACTCGCATAAAAAGGTTGGCTGGAAACCTGGTTACTGTTTAAAAAATGTTAGCCTCAATTTACAATGAATTTGTTCTCGCATTTCAAAATTATTTCCTTGCAATATTTTTTTTGGCTTTTGATACTTTTGGGTTTATGTTTTTCTTTCAATATCATTATTTTTGTTTGCAATGCTAAGAATTCTGTTCTCGACATCAGCGGTTTTACTTGATAATAATGGCACAAAAGTAACTCCATACTAACTCAAATATACATCATTTTGAGTAGGTTAATCAGTTTCATCTGAGTATGTGTTGACTATGGGTGACTACACAGTTTATGCAGGTTTGCCAATAGTTAAACCTTAATTGTGCAATATTTGTGCTGTTGTGTGGCACACTCTCAGCTTTCTCTTTGCTCAGTAGAAGTGGACATTTGGGGAAGAAAGAGAGAGGGGGAAGAACTGAAGTGAGAAAGAGAGAGAGGGGAAGTTAGTTTGAGCTACTGTGGTTGAGAGAGAGAGAGAGAGAGAGAGAGGGGTGTAGAGCGAGAGAGAGGTATCAGTATCATATCTGACCCAAGCGCTCATTTCCTGTGTGTGTGTACGCTGTCAATGTGTGTGTCCTTGTGTGGCATATCTGTGCATGTGTGTGTGTGTCAGTGAGACAGGAAGTGGGCTGTGTGTGGTGGAAACAGTTCACCGGAGGGCCTGTCTGGCCACGCCTCCTCTCTTCAACACCACCCAAAAGCACCCATCTGCTCCCCTCTCTCTCCTCCCCTGTCTTCTCTGTTTGCACCTCGTAACCTCTTTTCTTTTCCCATCCTCGAAAGAGCCCCTTTACGCACCCCTCCAGAAAAACAAAACCCCACAAAACTGCTTGTCTTGTTCCTTTTCTCCTTCCTTTTCCTAGCCCCCAACATCACGATCCCAAATATACTTTGGCTGCTCCTCGTTCTCCTGCATGACCCTCACCCCCCCTTCTCTTCTCCTCTAACTGTAACCCCCCAGTCCCCCCCCCCCCCCCCCCTCTCCTTTCCCTCACTGTACACCTACGACTCTCACTTCTCTGTCTGACCTCAGAGCTGTATGGGGAGAGAAAGAAAAGGCAATGTGGATATCCAGGTTGAAAATCATTAATGGAGAGAGACTAGGACCAGTGACATTCTACCCCACCCCCTTCTCCTCCCTCTCTTTTACCCCATCTCCCTCACTCTTTCCCTGCCTCAGCCCCACCCCCAACACACACACGTTGGCAGTTGACTCTGTGTGGATTCTGAATGTGGGAGGATTAAAAAATGTGTCCTTGCCGTGTGTGTGTGTGTGTGTGTGTGTTTGTGAGCAAGGGCACATGCCTTTTCCTGAATATACAGTACCAGTCAAAAGTTTGGACACACCTACTCATTCAAGGGTTTTTCTTCATTTTTACTATTTTCTACATTGTAGAATAATAGTGAAGACATCAAAACTATGAAATAACACCTATGGAATCATGTAGTAACCAAAAAAGTGTTAAACTAAATATATTTTATATTTGAGATTCTTCAAAGTAGCCACCATTTTCCTTGATGACAGCTTTGCACACTCTTGCAAGCCTACCCCTTTTTCCTCCAAACATAATGATGGTCATTATGGCCAAACAGTTATATTTTTGTTTCATCAGACCAGAGGACATTTCTCCAAAAAGTACGATCTTTGTCCCCATGTGCAGTTGCAAACCGTAGTCTGGCTTTTTTATGGCGGTTTTGGAGCAGTGGCTTCTTCCTTGCTGAGCGGCCTTTCAGGTTATGTCGATATAGGACTTGTTTTACTGTGGATATAGATACTTTTGTACCTGTTTTCTCCAACATCTTCACAAGGTCCTTTGCTGTTGTTCTGGGATTGATTTGCACTTTTCGCACCAAAGTACGTTCATCTCTAGGAGACAGAACGTGTCTCCTTCCTGAGCGGTATGACGGCTGCGTGGTCGCATGGTGTTTATACTTGCGTACTATTGTTTGTAGAGATTAACGTGGTACCTTCAGGCGTTTGGAAATTGCTCCCAAGGATGAACCAGACTTGTGGAGGTCTACAAAAAAAAATTCTGAGGTCTTGGCTGATTTCTTTTGATTTTCCCATGATGTCAAGCAAAGAGGCACTGAGTTTTAAGGTAGGCCTTGAAATACATCCACAGGTACACCTCCAATTGACTCAAATGATGTCAATTAGCCTATCAGAAGCTTCAAAAGCCATGACATCATTTTCTGGAATTTTCCAAGCTGTTTAAAGGCACCGTCAACTTAGTGTATGTAAACTTCTGACCCACTGGAATTGTGATACAGTGAATTATAAGTGAAATAATCTGTCTGTAAACAATTGTTGGAAAAATTACTTGTAATGCACAAAGTAGATGTCCTAACCAACTTGCTAAAATTATAGTTTGTTAATAAGAAATGTGTGGAGTGGTTGAAAAACGAGTTTTAATGACTAAGTGTATGTAAACTTCCGACTTCAACTGTAAACATACACCTTATGGAACAACAGGGACTGTGAGTGCTTTAATATGTTTGGACCCCAGGAAGAGTAGCTGCTGCCTTGGCAATAACCAACCTAATAAATGCTACCTAATAAAAACAAAATACAAATACAGTACGTGATGAGGCAAAAAGGGTCAATGCAGATAGTCCGGGTAGCTATTTAGCAGTGTGTGTGTGTGTGTGTGTGTGTGTGTAAGGTCACGCATGTGTGTGCAACATGACCGTAGCATTGTGTTAGTAGAGTGACTGTTTAGTATGCAAGCTAAGCGGACCTGCCACCACTGCTAACCATTACTGGAAGCACATTTTTCTGATGGCACATGTCAATACTGTCTGCATTTCCCAACACACACACACTCTAGCTAGTTGCTTTATTGTGATAAATTGTGTACTCAATGTATTGACTACTAATTTGAAAGGAAATGCTACGGAAAATGTTATTGATGACATAGACAACTCAACAGTCATTATGTTTATTGAACTCCATGGAGAAAATAAATATGAAACTGTCTTCAGATGATTGATCAATCTATAGGAATGGTCAAAATAACAGTCTTACCCAATCCAGTTTCCTGTGCCGTCCCACTGGGCACACACTGGTTGAATTAACGTTGTTCCCACTTCATTTCAACAAAATGACGTTGAACCAAGGTGGAATAGACGTTGAATTGAGGTCTGTGCCCAGTGGGTTGTGGTGGTTTCTACCAAGGTGCAAGATCACCATCTAAAGGCCATTGAAATATTTTAACAATATATCTGAATGAACATGTTTCACACATGTTGTGAAATGTGATCTTGAATCTATTTCCTAGTATTTCTATTGGAGTAATTGGAGCTTGGTTGAAAGGTATGTGCTGTCTGGGATCCTTGGGATGTCCCTACCCCATTGAAGTTGACATGTAAAATGGTTAAGGTAAGGGTTAATGTTAGGGTTAGATAAAGGTTGTGGTTATGGTTAGGGTAAGGGTAAGGATAAGGGTAGGGGTTAAGGTTAAAGTTTAGGGTGGGGACGTCCAAGGATCCCGGATAGCACTGACCTTGGATGAAATGTGTCATACATTACAAACAAGTGCTAGGCTTTTTTTAAGGATACGTGTACATGTGTAGCCAACAAGACGGAAAAGACCTTGAAGGGAAAATTACCCAAAATATAAAAACAAGTTTTTAGTTTGTTTTTGAGTCTACGTTCTCCACCATATGTTGAGTAGATACTCCAATATGCATTATCAGAAATCTGCTTGCCTCAATATAATGGCACTATTGATGGAATTACGGTAGTCAATGAATACACAGTAAAGATGTCATGTTGGGGTTTGCTCATTGCTACAGTTAATAATATCCAAATTAGTAATATAAATGAAAGATGATGAAGATGATCCTCTAATGATCCACCATTTCCTCTCTTGTTGCAGTTCCATGTCACCATTCAGTATTGAGAGCATACGCCGCCCCCGGAGGTCAGAGTCGCCCGACTCCAAGAAGAGACGCATCCACAGGTGTGACTTTGAGGGCTGCAATAAGGTCTACACCAAGAGCTCCCATCTAAAAGCACACCGGAGGACGCACACTGGTCAGTGGCTTCACCAACACATTACAGTTCTCTTCATCAATTAAAGGCTAGGTCTCTTCCTGAATAATAATGTATTCCGTAGCGCTAATATGCATGGAAAGTCAATACACATGGAAGATGCTTCACAAAAGCTTTAAACACAACAAGCAACCTGGACTTAGGGATAGACGGTACATAGTATAAGTAAATCCGGGAGACTCCAATTAGTACGATATGTTATGTTTCGTATGGTATGTATTTATTTGTGGATGTCCATTATCCATTTCGTATGATACAGTATGTTATGAATTACAATTCAGATGATATGTTACAAATTGCAATTTGTACAAGATTTTACGAATTGCAATTCATACAATACGTTAAGAATTTGCTAAATGTGTGATATGTTACGAATTCCAATTTGTTGTTGCTAACGTTAGCTAGGTGGCTAATGCTAATGTTAGTTAGGTGGCTAAGGTTAAGGGTTAGGGTTACGGTTACGGGTTAAGTTTAGGCTTAAGGTTAGGGTTAAAGTTAGGTTTATGAGTTAGGTTAAAGGGCTATGGTTAGGGTTAGCTAAGATGCTAAGTACTTGCAAAATAGCTAAAAAGTAGTAAGTAGTTGCAAAGTTCCTAATTAGCTAAAATGCTAAAGTTGTCCGTGATGAGATTCGAACATGCAAACAGTTGGTTGCTAGTCGTTCACATTATACTCCTACACATCCACTCCAACCACCCTACTTTTATTGTTTTTGCCTTAAGTAACCTTCTGTGTTATGTAACCATACCAAACATAACATGTCATACTAATTGGAGTGTCCCGGATTTACATATACTATGATAAGTGTAGTCTATGAGAGCACCTGATGTGTGTCTGACGAACTGCGGCTTCTCTTGCTGTTTCAACATGCATAATCAGCTTGCCCAACGACTTGACTTTGAGCCATTCAGAGAGCATGAAAGAAGCAACAATGAGAAGGAGAAAAGAGGGTACTTTTTCTATACTGGTAACATCAACCCCCTTACATCATCAACCAATTAGTTCATTTACATTACATTTACATTTACGTCATTTAGCAGACGCTCTTATCCAGAGCGACTTACAAATTGGTGCATTCACCTTATGATAGCCAGTGTGACAACCACTTTACCATTTTTTAAATATATTTTTCTAATTTTTCAATAGTCTTTTAGAGTATATTTTTAATCTTCATTTGTATTATATATATTGTTTTTGTTATTTTATTTGTTATTAGTGTTTTTTTTCACTTTTTTATTTATTTGATTTCAAATTATCATTATTATTTTTTTATTTTTTTGTGGGGGTGGGGTAGAATGATTACTTTTATACCATCGCAGGTATTCCTTAAAGAGGTAGGGTTTCAAGTGTCTCTGGAAGGTGGTCAGTGACTCTGCTGTCCTGGCGTCGTGAGGGAGCTTGTTCCACCATTGGGGTGCCAGAGCAGCGAACAGTTTTGACTGGGCTGAGCGGGAACTGTGCTTCTGCAGAGGTAGGGGGACCAGCAGGCCAGAGGTGGAAGAACGCAATGCCCTCGTTTGGGTGTAGGGACTGATCAGAGCCTGAAGGTAAGGAGGTGCCGTTCCCCTGACAGCTCCGTAGGAAAGCACTATGGTCTTGTAGCAGATGCGAGCTTCAACTGGAACCCAGTGGAGTGTGCGGAGGAGCGGGGTGACGTGAGAGAACTTGGGAAGGTTGAACACCAGACGGGCTGCAGCGTTTTGGATGAGTTGTAGGGGTTTAATGGCACAGGCAGGGAGTCCAGCCAACAGCAAGTTGCAGTAATCCAGACGGGAGATGACAAGTGCCAGGATTATGACCTCTGCCGCTTCCTGTGTAAGGTAGGGTCGTACTCTGCGAATGTTGTGGAGCATGAACCTACAGGATCGGGTCACCGCTTTGATGTTAGCGGAGAACGACAGGGTGTTGACCAGGGTCACACCAAGGTTCTTTGCACTCTGGGAGGAGGACACAACGGAGTTGTCAACCATGATGGCGAGATCATGGAGCGGGCAGTCCTTCCCCGGGAGGAAAAGCAGCTCCGTCTTGCCGAGGTTCAGCTTGAGGTGGTGATCCGACATCCACACTGACATGTCTGCCAGACATGCAGAGATGCGATTCGCCACCTGGTTATCAGAAGGGGGAAAGGAGAAGATTAGTTGTGTGTCGTCTGCGTAGCAATGATAGGAGAGGCCATGTGAGGATATGACAGAGCCAAGTGACTTGGTGTATAGAGAGAATAGGAGAGGGCCTAGAACTGAGCCCTGGGGGACACCAGTGGTGAGAGCACATGGTGCGGAGACAGATTCTCGCCACGCCACCTGGTAGGAGCGACCTGTCAGGTAGGACGCAATCCAAGAGTGAGCCGCGCCGGAGATGTCCAACTCGGAGAGGGTGGAGAGGAGGATCTGATGGTTCACAGTATCAAAGGCAGCAGATAGGTCTAGAAGGATGAGAGCAGAGGAGAAAGAGTTAGCTTTAGCAGTGCGGAGAGCCTCCGTGACACAGAGAAGAGCAGTCTCAGTTGAATGACCAGTCTTGAAACCTGACTGGTTTGGATCAAGAAGGTAATTCTGAGAGAGATAGCAGGAGAGTTGGCTATAGACGGCACGCTCAAGAGTTTTGAAGAGAAAATAAAGAAGGGATACTGGTCTGTAGTTGTTGACATCGGAGGGATCAAGTGTAGGTTTTTTGAGGAGGGGTGCAACTCTCGCTTTCTTGAAGATGGAAGGGACATAGCCAGCGGTCAAGGATGAGTTGATGAGTGAGGTGAGGTAAGGGAGAAGGTCTCCGGAAATGGTCTGGAGAAGAGAGGAGGGGATAGGGTAGGGCAGTGTGAGCAGATTTCATCTGGAGAGAGAGGGGAGAAAGAAGTCAAAGCATAGGGTAGGACAGTGTGAGCAGGACCAGCGGTGTCATTTGACTTAATAAATGAGGATCGGATGTCGTCAACCTAGTAGACAATTAGTAGGCAATGCCTACTCATAATTGGTTGAAATCACACAATGCACACCGATGATGTCATTGGAAACACTTATGTTCCTCTATCTTTTTTACTACAAAACATAGAAATGCGACAATTTCACATATGTTGATGTTGGGTGGTGCTGGAGATGATAAAGATGAAGTTGAAAAATTTAGAAATGTAACTTTAACTAAAACAATACATCTGCAAGTTTTTTCTAGAGCAATTCCTAGTTACATATTGCACATCTAGCTAAGGAGTTTTGTGCATGAAGGAGCATTATTTTTAGTTTACAAATGTTTTATATTGTAAGTTTGACGACAATGTGCACAAAACTTGTCCATTAGCTAGATAGCTAGCTTGCTAACTGAGTCAGTCAAACGAATGGGATGGTAACCAGCAATAATGCTAAACACTAGCTAAATGCTTCCTCCATAAGCTAGCTATCTAGCCACTGTAGCTAGTAACACACCAAGGATACTGATGGCTAAGGTATTTAGCACCTCTGACAAGCATGTCGGCAGTCAAAATCACCAACTAGTGAAGCAGCTATTCTGCCAAAAGCAGTGCTGGACAGAGTGAGCTCTAGCCAACTTTATTCCATGTTTACGTCAAGTCAGGAACTCGTAAATACGTCCTTCCTACTGGGAAAAATGCACGTGGATGCCCCTCCAACTCAGAATTATGACTAGGAAACTCGGGTATGATCTCGGGACCCCGATCTTTCCCACATGATGAACTCTGACGTCATGCACCACAGAAAATGTCAACAACCATGGCCACAATTTTGTCTGTCAATGGTGAGAATGGCTCTTGTGTTCCTTCCGAGTTCCGAGCATATGAACTCTACAAGTCGTTCCTCCGAAGTAGACAAGTCGTTCCTCCGATTACTCCGACATGACGTGATCATGGCATTATACTGCTAGTGCCAGTTTGCTAGCTTGCTAGCTAGCTAAATCGTTAGCATCATCATTCGGTAGCGCAACATATAAACTAGAAATTTGGCTAGATGGCACTGGCAGTATGGGATAGTGGAGAGTGAATTCAATTATTTCGTCAACATCTTGCTAGCTAGTGGTTATCTAGTTGTGGCCATCTAGCTATCAACAGGGCTTCTAGCTAGCAACATTAACGCAGCTAGCTAACATTGGCTATATAGCAACATGGTCCTACTACGTGCCAATGGAAACAAAGCTTAAGATAGCACCACTACTGCCATCTTCTGGTCTGGAGTATTTTAACAAGTCTATAATGTTTTATTTTATTTTGTTATGACAGATTATGAAGGCTTTTGTTTTGTTTAATACTTTGTGAATGAACTGTTAGCTACAAATATATATTTTTAAATGTTATTAGATTTTAATTTTTGTAATTGTCACATGCTTTGTAAACTAACAGTGGAATGCTTACTTACAGGTCATTATCCAACAATGCAGAGTTAAAGATAAAACATGTAATAAACAAATACAAATAGTGACACAAGGCATAAGTGTGAATAAGTGAATAACGAATAACAATAACTAGTAAAAGTAACATGGCTATATACAGGGAGTATCAGTACCGAGTCAATGTGTAGGGGTACGAGGTAATTGAGGTAGCTATGTACATATACTGTAGGTTGGGGTAAAGTGACTAGGCAACAGGATAAATAATAGACAGTAGCAGCAGTGTATGTGGTGAGTGTGAAAGTGTGTGTGTGTGTTTGAGTGTGTGTGTGTGGCGTCAGTATACATGTGTGTGCATGTTATGTGTGTGTGGGTGTATGTAGTGTGTGTGTGTATGTGTGTGTCGGGGTGTCAGTGTAAGTATGAGTGAGTGTGTGGGTAGCATCCAGTGTGTGTGCAGAGAGTTAGTGCAAGAGAGTTAGTGCAAAAAAGGGCCAATGCATGTAGTCCGGGTAGCCATTTGATGAGCTATTTAGCAGTCTTGTTTAGCAGTCTTATGGCTTCGTGGTAGAAGCTGTTCAAGGTCCTGTTAGATCCAGACTTGGTGCACTGATACCGCTTGCCGTGCGGTAGCAGAGAGAACAGTCTATGGCTTGGGTGGCTGGATTCGTTGAAAATGTTTTGGCCCTTCCACTGACACAGCCTGGTACAGAGGTCCTGGATGACCGTACTCACCACCCTCTGTAGCGCCTTGCGGTCGGGTGTCTTGCAGTTGCCGTACCAAGCGGTGATGTAGGCAATCAAGTTGCGCACAATGGTGCAGCTGTATAACTTTTTGAGGATCTGAGGGCCCATGCCAAATCTTTTCAGCCTCTTGAGGGGGAAGAGTTGCTGTCGTGCCCTCTTCACAGCTGTGTGGTTGTGTGTGGACCATGTTAATTCCTTATGGATGTGGATACATAGGAACTTGAAGCTCTCGACCTGCTCCACTACAGCCCCATCAATGTGGATGGGGGTGTGCTTGCCTCTCCGTTTCCTGTAGTCCACGATCAGCTCCTTTTGTCTTGCTGACGTTGAGGGAGAAGTTGTTATCCTGGCACCACACTGCCATCTCTGACCTCCTCCTCCGCCATGAACGGTTGATGATCTGAGCTACAGTGACGGGAAAAAAGTATTTGATCCCCTGCTGATGTTGTACGTTTGCCCATTGACAAAGAAATGATCAGTCTATCATTTTAATGGTAGGTTTATTTGAACAGTGAGAGACTGAATAACAACAAAAAAATCCAGAAAAACGCATGTCAAAAATGTTATAAATTGATTTGCATTTTATTGAGGGAAATACGTATTCGACTCCCTCTCAATCAGAAAGATTTCTGGCTCCCAGGTGTCTTTTATACAGGTAACGAGCTGAGATTAGGAGCACACTCTTAAAGGGAGTGCTCCTAATCTCAGCTTGTTACCTGTATAAAAGACACCTGTCCACAGAAGCAATCAATCAATCAGATTCCAAACTCTCCACCATGGCCAAGACCAAAGAGCACTCCAAGGATGTCAGGGACAAGATTGTAGACCTACACATGGCTGGAATGGGCTACTAGACCATCGCCAAGCAGCTTGGTGAGAAGGTGACAACAGTTGGTGCGATTATTCGCAAATGGAAGAAACACAAAATAACTGTCAATCTCCCTCTGCCTGGGGCTCCATGCAAGATCTCACCTCGTGGAGTTGCAATGATCATGAGAACGGTGAGGAATCAGCCCAGAACTACACAGGAGGATCTTGTCAATGATCTCAAGGCAGCTGGGACCATAGTCACCAAGAAAACAATTGGTAACACACTACGCCGTGAAGGACAGAAATCCTGCAGCGCCCGCAAGGTCCCCCTGCTCAAGAAAGCACATATACAGGCCTGTCTGAAGTTTGCCAATGAACATCTGAATGATTGAGAGGAGAACTGGGTGAAAGTGTTGTGGTCAGATGGGACCAAAATCGAGCTCTTTGCCTTCAACTCAACTCACCGTGTTTGGAGGAGGAGGAATGCTGCCTATGACCCCAAGAACACCATCCCCACCGTCAAACATGGAGGTGGAAACATTATGCTTTGGGGGTGTTTTTCTGCTAAGGGGACAGGACAACTTCACCGCATCAAAGGGACGATGGACGGGGCCATGTACCGTCACATCTTGGGTGAGAACCTATTTTCCTCAGCCAGGGCATTGAAAATGGGTCGTGGATGGGTATTCCAGCATGACAATGACCCAAAACACACAGCCAAGGCAACAAAGTAGTGGCTCAAGAAGAAGCACATTAAGGTCCTGGAGTGGCCTAGCCAGTCTCCAGACCTTAATCCCATAGAAAATCTGTGGAGGGAGCTGAAGGTTCGAGTTGCCAAACGTCAGGCTCGAAACCTTAATGACTTGGAGAAGATCTGCAAAGAGGAGTGGGACAAAATCCCTCCTGAGATGTGTGCAAACCGGGTAGCCAACTACAAGAAATGTCTGACCTCTGTGATTGCCAACAAGGGTTTTGCCACCAAGTACTAAATCATGTTTTGCAGAGGGGTCAAATACTTATTTCCTTCATTAAAATAGAAAAATCAATTCATAACATTTTTGACATGCGTTTTTCTAGATTTATTTTTTGTTATTCTGTCTCTCACTGTTCAAATAAACCTACCATTAAAATTATAGACTGATCATGTCTTTGTCAGTGGGCAAACGTACAAAATCCGCAGGGGATCAAATACTTTTTTCCCTCACTGTATATATAAATGTAAATAAAGTTACTGCTGACATAGTCAGAGCTGCTAAGTACCTTGGCCATCAATATCCTTGGTGTGTTTTTAGCTTAACTGTGGGGTGACACAATTAACTTATTTACAGTTAATTAACCACTTCAAATCTCTTTGTTAGCAAGCACTGTCTCCAAAACTGCAAGCTGTCTCAGTAATGTTTACTTTTTTATGTTTGTGATGTCTCCACTTTCCGTTTTAGAAGAAAAATATCAATCATTAGGCAATACAAAAATGCATGCACATGAATTGTATGTTGCGAAAGTCACTGCTTTACCAAGTCTCTGTTTCTGTCTGTTTGTGTTGACCTGTCCAGGTGAGAAGCCATACAAATGCACCTGGGATGGCTGCACGTGGAAGTTTGCCCGCTCTGACGAGCTGACACGCCACTACCGTAAACACACAGGTGTCAAACCCTTCAAGTGTGCGGACTGTGACCGCAGCTTCTCGCGCTCAGACCACCTGGCCCTGCACCGACGGAGACACATGCTAGTATGATACAGTTGCAGGGTGATGATGTCATCAGAAGGAGCATATACACACACTTACACACACACATCGCCGCCAGGGGAGCAGTGTCTCTCCCTCAATGTGATTCAGCTGGACTGGACACACACCGCCGTCTGTCTGCGAGGCGGTGGGAAGAGCGGAGTAAAATGCACAGAAAGGCGTCTGTCTGTCCACAGAGAAAAAAAACAGGGTCAGTTCTGGATCCTCAGTGACTGAGGAGGGTCGGAACTGGAAAATGCTCTTTTATTATCATTTTTGAATTTTGAGTTTTAACGTAAACCTGTCTTTATTCCCAGCACTGTTCTTAGATGGTTTCACTTTGGAGTTTTTCTCGGAAGGAGTTATGCTCTTCTTCGTTCATTTGGACGGGAATCGTAATTGCAACCGTTCTTCTTGGTGTTTTGTTTTGATTATATTGTTCAAAATGGCTGCTTTTCTCGCGTCTATAATGTGAAAGAACTCGGAGGATTTGATGGCTGGATGAATGGATGGAAGGGCTGTGTGCATGTGTGTTTTTGAAGTATAGGGCAAACCTTGGCCAATTGAATAAACAGACACAGATTCTGGTTCGTCCATGGAGAGTATTGTTTCCCAGTTCCTTCCATACAGCAGCTCCCTGCCTCGCTGTGCTTCAGGACAACCGGCAGCAGAGGGCGCCATCCACTCATTGATTGTACCCATAAAAACTGGTTTGAGTGTTCTAGAGTCAGCATTCTAGAATGAGTTCTAGTACCAGTGTTCTAGATTCAGAAGCATCAGAAGCATCCCAGTGGGCCAGTGATATAGAAACTGTAAGGGGCGGAGTTAACTCCAACCCAATGTCAGCAAACCAGCAACTGAGATTAAAGAGTACAGTATATCCACAAACAGAGAGCATCAGCAACCTCACTTCTCGTTCACATCCACGCATATTGCAATACCTACAGGTTTAGTATACATGTTTGTTGTTTTTGGTATTTGTTATTTTTTTTCTTCCAATGGTTCTTCTTAGCACACGACTTAACCACATTGCTGTTCCTCACCTTAAGCTTCTTTGAAACTTTTTATTTAAAAAGAAAACTTTATTGGTGCATTTTGTGCTCTGATTAGCAATCAGTAAAGTGCAATCTCATTGGGTAAATATAGTTTCAATATCGAGACTTTTATTGTTTCTTGTTCATTATATCTTGCTGTGTATGCCTGCTTTGATCCATTTCACAAATAAAGATCAATCCACACACCAATGTACAATGAACTTTAAAACAAATCAAATTAACATATCTGGTATGTGAAAACGACTTTGAAGCACCTTACAGATTCACACCTTATATGATGATTCCATAATGTTCAAGGATTTTGTTTTGTATCCCTGCTCTTTACAGTGAAAGGGATTGGCATTGTGATAATCTGTGTGTTAGTAGTCTAGAGCTAACACATCTTGGGTTTAGTTAATAATAATATAATATATGCTATTTAGCAGACGCTTTTATCCAAAGCAACTTACAGTCATGAGTGCATACATTTAGATCAGAGGGCTAACCCACTCGGTTACTTGAGTTCAATAGAAGAGCAATACATTCAGAGGAGGGAAATGTTCTTGTACCCTTGGTCTCGTTGCTGACATCATACACAAATAAGTCCTCAATCACAGACAGATTTCTACCAGTGCCACTTCTTCGTTTCTACTCTATACTACACATTTCTATATTTCTACAGCACAATGTTCTAGGCAAGCTCACTTATTTTGGTTACCCCCTCCCTTTAAACTGTGTGGAAAATGTCACATTAATGATGGGTGGTTGAGGAGGAACAGGTTTTTCTAAATGTATCTATGACAGACCTACACTCTTAGAAGAAAGTGTTATCTAGAATCTAAAATGGTTCTTCGGCTGTCCCCATAGGAGAACCCTTTGAAAAACCCTTTTTGGTTCCAGGTAAAACCCTTTTGAGTTCCATGTAGAACCCTTTACACAGAGGGTTCTACATGGAACCCAAAAGAGTTCTACCTGGAACCAAAAAAGGTTCTACGTGGAACCAAAAAGGGTTCTCGTATGGGAAAAGCCTAATAAACTTTTGTAACAATTTTTTCTAAGAGTGTACAGTGCCAAAATGAAAAAATTAGGAGAAAAAAAAATGTGGCTCGACTTTCAATTACTTACAGCAATGACATCAACCACTTATATTTTGCATATTGTTTGACATCAACTGCAATTTACCAGTTAAAGACAATTTATCCAGCCGGTTGGAAAGAGAAATCTATGGACATACAAATAGCACTACATAAACCTTTCTGAGATACATGAAAGAAATATCGTCAACTTTTGCTATCACAACGAAGTTATCAGATTTTCCTTTTTACGATAATTGGACATAGATCTGACCTTGTTCATCATTATCATAGCTATTCTCAACAGAATCCCACTTATATGATAATTGTATATGTTCAAAGTATTTTTGTAGTGCAGTACATAGAAATTAGAGTATGCTGAATGCTTACAGTTTCAGGAGCTCATTTCAGAAGGCCAGTAAGTTAAGATTTTGTCGAGTCAAGTGCTTATGGACAACGTTTTTGAGATTGCAGCATATGCTTAGTGATTTAATAACACACGCATACACCAGTGGTACTGTACTATAATTCAAAACCACATCCTTACCTGAACAAAAAAATATTTTGCAGAAATATATTATGCAGAATTCGTCTCTCTCCCTTTTGGTTTGCTGAAGTATTATAATATATGTCATATTATGTTGTTATATGTTGTTTGTGTACATGTGAATATTTCATTGGCCTTTTTTGGCTCAATCATATCATCAGCACCTTGTTTGTTATGAAGTATAATTTTACAATGATTTAATTGATGAAGTCCATTTAGACATAGTCATAATTCTCAACACATTTTATTATTCTTATACTGTATTTTTCTGAAATGAGGGGCACTTCATCATGCATATAACAATTTTCTGTAAAAATATATATATATTTGAAATGTTGTAATATATGTGATAGTGGAAATACAAATTATAACTCAGTTCTACAGCCTGTATATACATTTGAAAATAGGGCTTTTGATTATTAGATACAAGGAAATACATTTATACATGTAAAATATTTTTCTGAAATGCTAATTTATCTGATCTGATATACAGTAAGATGGGGCTATTGATTCTAAACTGTTTTATTATCTAAAATACTCATATAAATGATCAAATCGGATGTCAGAAATGTGCATTTTGGTTTGTGATTTTCTTCTTTCTCAAAACAAGAGAACGTTTTCATATGAATATGGTCAATATGATAATTGCTTTTATAAATTGATCAAACTTTAATATGTCATTCTCCACCCAACCATGTTGAGTTGAAGAATTTTACAATTACAAGTACAGATTCATATCAACAATATATTAAACTATTTTATTCCGTTTTCTTTTTGTGTTGAAAGGTTTTCATTCACATTAGCATCGTTCATCCAAATTTTACATATATTTTCTTTAAATTTATCTTCACTTGAAAGTTATAACTAATATTTTGTATGTGTACACAGAGGCTTATTGTATGCATGCATTACCACTCCCTTTTGGCATAATCAAAACTTTTTACGAGCTTAATTCTTTAACGGTAAGCAGGGTCAATGTTATGCAATAATGATTAGTGCCTCCTATCACAGCGAATCTCAGAAAAGCATGCACATAAACTATTTCACATCTAACACGTATCATATACATTCAAATATAGACCTTTGAATTGATACTAAGACAGAGACGTATTTGTAAAAAATGAAAGCCATCATACTCTGAGACCATTTTGCAAAAACCTGACTCCCATTTTTCAGTTTATTTTCAATGCACTGAGCCTTACCCCATCGTTTCAATACAGTATCCTCAAATATCAGCTTTTTACATGCTGTATGTATGTCTCATGGAAGCTCCATATGATTTGTATGGATGTATTTACAATACTAACTTCACTTAGAGAATTTAATTATTTTATCGTTATCGTATCATTTGGGTTTTGACCTCTCCGATCCTGGTCATTGGTGCAACTACTTAGCTTTTTTCATAATCAGCCAAACCATATTGCAGTATGCGAAATCACAGAAGAGTGACACCTGATTTTACACAGTGTTGAATTTATTGCGGTTCGCAGGGAAAGCTCTATTGAATATGTAAAGGCCTGAATACCAACCCTTGGAGAGCTCCCTTTGAAATAATTCTGATTACACTTCTGTATCCGTTCAATATTTATTTTATTTCTGTATCAATTCTGTGTTTGTTTTATCTCTGTTTTTGAAGAATTACATAGTGATGCCAATGCCTTTGTTTCAAGTTTACTGCTATTGCGTACAGTAATTGTTGTTCCTGTATTCATGTAAAGTGACTGTATTGTAAATGTATTCAGAGCATTTCATTCTTACCGTAAAATTGTGATATGCCCCACAATGATTCAAAGGGAGTCCCTAGCTCAAGGAATTCTGGGAACCAATTTGGAATCCCAATGTTTTTCAAAGGTCGATAGAACAAGTGTTTTTCTTCTTCTTTTCTTCTGTTCTTTCTTTCTGTTTTTCAAAAGTTGTCTAAATATTCTGTCAATGCCTTTAGCTTTTTTCTCTGTATTTTTCATATGGATGGAGCTGTGAAATTAAATTAAACTGAGTTGAAACATATACATGTACATGAATGGAGGCATGAAGGTTAATAAAGTTGCATTTTGTATTTAACATGCTCGTACCAGAACTCATTTAGACTGTGTTGTCGCTGGTATGTGGTTTTGGTTTCACTAACAGATTTGAGTGCTATACTCACATTCACTGGCATTCAGGAACCTAAGCTTATGTCCTGGAATGTAATGATAAGATGGGCCATGATCTTTGGCGGGCATTCAATCATCTATATCAAGTGTCTATACTGTAAGGGCACTTTGCTAGGCTTTGTTATGCCACTACGAACAACATCTATGAAAACATGCGTTTTCAGACAGTAAAATCAAGCTAATTAAAATTTTCCCCTATACTTATCAGTGTGTGCATCCCGTAGCATTATCAATGATATAAGGTGGTTTTCATGAAAGCTTCCAAAACAATTAGTTTTCCCTGATCCCTCCACATACTGAAATACCCCAGTACCATCTCATTCACTATGACTCATCACAATCACTCGGCTGCCACTTTTCCAGAGTAATCAAAACAGTTTAAATCAGTCACTCCTCTGGTTTGGTTTGCACAACAACAACAACAACCTTGAGCCAATTGCTTTTCTATGGGAGTCATATGTCGATGGACAATGGACATGATCAATGTCTATCTGTCAAATATGTGACATGTTGAAGTAGAACCCAGGAGGAGAGAAGAGAGCCAGACAAGGAACCAGTGGTTTAGGAAAAAACGTAAATACATTACTGGAAAACGTTCAACAGGAGGTACAAAGTAAAACTGGGAAAATAACTAATACTAAGACTCAAACTCTCTCAGGAGACACCGCACACGGCAAACAAATTAAGCTTCTGCAAAGGATTACAGAAAACACACATCTCTTAAAAGGGAATCATAATTAGTAATAGAAAACACCTGAGTGTCATAATAGTCTCTAGGGGGTCTCTGCCACCCTCTGGTGACAGGTGGAACCATGACAATATCCCCCCTTCTAGGAGCAGCGCCAGCTGCAAAGCCAGGGCGACCACCACGTAGTTGGTTGAAGTCCCGAACAAGTCCCGGGTCCAGGATGTCCCGGGCAGGCACTGGTTCTTACCAGCTTGAGACGGGAGATGTGGAAGGATGGACAGACTCTCAATGGCCTGGGGAGCTGGAGACGATAGGTGACCGGGTTGATGCGACTCAGGATCTTGAATGGTCCTACGTAGTGCGGGGTGAGCTTCTGAGAGCCCACTTTTAAGGGGAGATCAAGGGTGGACAGCCACACCTATTGACCCGGTCGGAGGAGTCGAAGGGGCCTTCGGTGTTGTTGTCAGACAGAGGAAGGAAACAAGGAGGATCGCGCTCTGGTCCAGGTGCGGCGACATCGTCAAATGAACGCCTCTGCTGAGGGCACCCCCACTTCGGCCTCTTGTTCAGGAAATGGGGTGGGGGCGGCCAACCCGGACTGACACTCGAATGAAGAAAGTCCCGTGGACGAGTTCGGCAGTGTGTTGTGAGGATATTCGGCCCAGACGGGGAACTTGCTCCAGTTAGTGGCCTGAGTGGAGATAAAACAGCGGAGGGCAACTTGTGTAGGGTGATGAAATTGGCTGCCTTGGAGAACTGATCGACGACAACCAGGATAGTGGTCAGCCCTTGGGATGGAGATAACCCAGCCGATCACTGTCGTGAGGACTTGCTTTGGGCACAGGTGGACTAGGCCGTAATGAAGGATCTCACATCCTCAATCATGTTGGGGCACCAGAATTTCAGCCTTAGGAACTCCAGTGTCCGATTACCCCCTGGATGCCCAGCTAATTTAGAGGAGTGTCATCATAGTAGTACTTGAGAGCAGGCTGAGCGTGG